GAAAGAAGGCATAATTTTTCCATAAAACATATGCAAGTCCCTAGATAAAATCCAACAATCCGAAGGGTAGAATTTCCATCTAGTCAAGAATCGTGTCCTTGGCTTGAAACAAAAGAACTCTATGAGGTTAAAAGTTCAAAAACCTACATATATTTTTACTGTGTGATGCAGGACATTTCAATATCAAATTCCCATGGATATAAAACAAAGAGAACCTATGTTACACAGACACAGACACAGGCATGCGTGTCTATATATGACAAAGATACATGTATCAAAAATATGAGCCCCAAAAAGTAACATTTAGACGCGACACGTCCATACAATCTACAAGTATCCACAAATGCGTACATTTATATAAAGAATTATTTTTTAACTGTTTCTATATATACATATATTAAAATCTGTGTAGTTCACATCTGCATTTACATAGACAACAATTCATGTTATACAAAAATAGTAAAGCATCCAAAAAATAAACATATTTAAATTAATAATCCAAGTTGAGACAATGACAAATTCTATACTTTGTACGACAAAAGTATTACAAGCTTTAAATTCTAACGAATACTAGTATAACTCTTTCTATGCAAGAGTACTACAAGATATAAATAATATCAAAATATTAGTACAAGCTTTCAAAATTAGGAAGCAACCGGCGAGCCCTTTCCTCCTTTTCTCTAGTTGGTCTTTGCTTTCTCGAACAATCGACAAAGGCTTTTTGTACACAGATGTATGGAGTCAATCAATGTCTGGGCTTTCTCCCTATTCTACCGAGAGGCCACGGGAGTCAACACTGTCTCATCCTCATCCTCTTTTCAAGTCATGCTACGCCGTCCCCTCAGCCTAGGATTGATTGCTGGCACCTGAAGCACGGGTTGTCTAACAAGGCATGGGACCTATAGATTCATTGTATGTTGTGCAAAAGTTTCCTTCCTACATGCGCGCTTCAAAAGGAGGCACACACCGTAACAATTCGCCGCAATAGCTGCCTTTGGCTCTACTGTAACTGATTCATCGGGTAATGAGACAATGGAATGATTCCTACACCTATGGGCTCAGGTTCCTTCCTCCCCTAAAGCTATCTTGATTCGGACTAGTTGGATGCCTTCAGCCCAATTCTCAAGACTTTTTCCCTCATACAGTGGCGTGGTTCCAAAATGACACGCTATTCCGTCTCATCCTTTCCCCTAGGAAGAGAAAAAGGAGGAGGGGGCCGACGAAAGGAAGACTCGAACCAAAGTCAACTGCGGATAAGGCAAGGTGCTATTAATGGCAATCTTACATGGCACAAAGAATAACGAGAACGGATAAGAGAAAAGTTGAAGATAGATGAATATCCAGTGGTTCATAACTTGGAGAGGGAGAAACCAATGGTCCACAGGGCTTGGAGAGATAAACCAGTGATTCATGGCTTGTAAAGAGATAAACTAATTAAGAGGGAGAAACCCTAGAAAGTTTCATAGCAGTTGAAATAAATCGCATTTTTTATTTATAATAATAATGGCTTATAGAAACCCTAATTTAAAAAATAAATATAATTTTAAATTTTTTACTCTAAACTACTTATTTATTTCTAAAATGCTTGTTACTTTTAAAATGAAATACTCTTCAATGAAAAACGAAGTTTTTAAAAACAGAAATGTCACTTTCAAAAAAAGAAATATCCAAAAAATGGACATCGTAATAGACACTTAATACATGTGTCATATGTGTGTCTAAGAGTGTCGACATGTGCGTCAGTGTTTGCCAAGTGTCAACACATGGTCAGATCCCAATATACATGTGTCTATGTTTCATAGAAGAGAACATTCCAAAGATGTCTATGTTTCATAGAAGAGAACATTCCAAAGATTTCAAAAACTTAACCGCCACAAATGTTTTAGCATGTATGCCTTTAGACATAAATATTGGCCCAGTGTTTGAAAACCTAGAAAAGCTAGAAAAGCGGGGCAGATTGGCCATCTAGAAATCTGGTCCGCACCAATGGATCAGCCAGTTCGGGCTGATCCAACCTTATAAAACTTTCAAAAAATGCCAATATTTCTTAAAAACCTAGTTTCTTAGGTTTCACAAAAAGAATGGGGGTATTATATTATGGTTTATCATTATGTTACTGAAAATACGTAAATAATAAAAACTTGTTTCATGTCTGGATGTCATCAATTTATATTTCTCTCTTTGTTACTATATTTCTCAAGTACATTGAACATGCGACTTTTTTTTTGGAGGTTGATCTATAGCTTCAAGAGGTTACATCCCCAAACTTGATGTCTTAAAAATACTCCTAGGTTGGCTTTTATACAAGAGAGCGTATAAGAAATATGCTTCCGAGATTTTATTTCTCTCTCTCAAAAGAATTGCATGTAAACATATCTCTTAGGTAAGGAATATAACATTCATTGGGTTCAAACAAACCCCTTGTTTTCTCACTCTAGACTTTCATACAAACATCTCTCTCTAGGAAAAAGATAACATGCGATGGGTTGACAAAGAAATAAGTCCACACGGAATCAATGGAAGTCGAAAGACTCTTGATAACAATGGAAAACCAAATGCAACAAACCTTTCGCCTGGTTGATCCACAAACTCAAATTCAAAACCAATTATTCCTCTTGAAAGTGCTATAAAATAGGGCCAAATTTTTTTTGCATATTAATGTGTGAACCATCTCCATCACCAAATGCCCACTATGGCATCAGTGATGATTTACATCTTAGAAAACCTCATCTAGCTGTTATTAGTCCCACAAGGGATGTTTGAAAGTTTATGGGAAGGAAAGCCCTATGGGTCATGGGTGGTAGGCAGTCCATGTACGCCTAGGCTTGTGGCTATTCAATTGCGCAGAATATGCAGGCCACTCCGCGGTCAATCAAAAAATAATAAAATCAAAAAAATCAAATCAAATCAAAAAATAAATAAATAAAAAGTGTGGGTCTATACCAAATTATTGAGTTTGTGTCAAAAACCTCATATTGACACCGACACGCATATTGACACTCATTTGACACGTATACGGCACCTCTATTAAGTCTCCACTACCATGTCCCTTGTTTAAACACGTTTTCTTTTTAAAAAGTGACATTTTTTTTTAAAAAACTTCATTATTCATTGAAAAGTGTTTTATTTTAAAAATAAAAGTATTTTAGAATAAAATAAGTAGTTTAGAATAAAAATTAAAAACATTTTTATTAGTTAAATTAAGGTTTCCATAAGTCATTGTTACTATAAATAAATAAATAATATGATTTATGCCAACAACCATGAAACTTTCTAGGGTTTCTCCCTTCCCAATTAATTTCTCCCTTTGCAAGCCGTGAACCACTAGTTTCTTCCTCTTTAAGCCCTACGGACTACTGGTTTCTCCCTCTCCAAGTTGTGCACCACTAGATATTCATCTCTCTTCTTCAACTTTTCTCTCTTTCATTATCTTTGTGCCTTGTGACATGTTAGATCTTTATTGTTCCATCTTTTTTGCCATTAGTAGCATGAATTGTATAGTACCTTGCTTTTCCTAGCAATTGACTTTTTCTAGTTTTGAAATCTTGTACTAATATTTGATATTCTTTAAATTTTATAATATTCTTGTCATAGAAAGTGTTGTATTAGTATTTGGTAGAATTTACAGCTTGTAGTACTTTGGTCATACAAAGTCTAGAACTTGTTCTTGTCTCAACTTGGACTTCGGGGTTCACATTTCTGACACTCGTATTTGTGTGATAAATAGACACGCATGCCCATGTTTAGGTAACATAGCTCATACACAATCAGCATAACATTGGAAAAAATGTACAGTTCTTTACCAGTGTAAAGGTACATTTTCTCGTGAAAAAATAATATTTTACACTAAGCCATTGAAATTTTTGCAAGCACTACACATCTCTTTTTTTCTTTATATATATGAATGTTAACTTAGAGCTTAGTGAGAAAGGAACTTTAAACATCACGTTGTGGCACATATCTACTTAGAGCCCATTCTCTTGCAAGCGCTAAACACAGGATTACAAATATTTGCTGAGTTCCAAAAATTATGGCCAGATGCCAATTAGCGAACTAGTCCACCTGCGGATTTGCCTTACATTTTGAAAACAGCTATAGTCAATTATATCCAAGTCTCCTCCAAGACGGAACCAAATCTCCTAGGAAGTGCCAGAACTTGATCCTTTCTCTAATGTGGCAAATGAGTTTTGATGGGATCTGGTGCAAGGGAGCCTGTATAACAACACCCATTCTATCACATTTAGGATTCCCCTAGATGACTAGGCCAAAGGGCAATGTCTCCAAGAAAGGGGGAAACAAGAAGAAAATAGAATCCCACAATTCTTCTCCTTCCACTAATACCAAAATGCTACATCATCACATACACCCATCCCCTAAAAAGAAATGTACTAACTGCTAATGAAAAAATTCAAGTTTGCAGCCATCCAAGGACTTCCCTTGACAACCCAAAAACACACCAAAGCTACAATTACTAAAATGGCATGATTACCTCGTAGAATCATCTTCTCTATCCAATCTTTGAATGGTCTCCATGCCACTTAAGACCACCATTTACAGGGCCAAAAACAAAGTCCGGATTCTTGAGGTGGTTGGAAACTGGTGCTTAATCAGAGTGAACAAGATGCCTTCCAATTAAAAATGGTTCAGCTCTTACTGCTGCATTTTAGACATAAGGTGTTCAACAAGTATATGGCGTGTCAATGGAACAATTGCTAACTAAGAGCCTCGACCAAAATGTGAGCTTTCTTGATATAGAGATGGAGTTGGAGTTACTTTTTGCTCCAAATGAGGATATTTTACTTACATGCATCCCTCCATTAATCCGATTGTGTTCTTTTCCTTTGGAGAAAGGTGACGATATCATTAATAAATGAGAAAATACAATAACATAAGAGAGCAGAAAGTATAATGAAAATTCACGAATGGAGATAATAAGACATTTTCCAATCAAAGTAAAATAGAGCTAAGGTTATCTCACTAACCCGATCATGTCACTTTTTAAGTTTCATTTCTTTTTTAAGTGGGAACCTAAAATGAGTCGCAGGACTCAGAGGTGTCCTAGACAAATGTTGAATGTGTGTGTATGTTATTTGCATGTGTGAGACACAGACTCAAATTCAGAACATTGAAATGCAAGAGAAATATCAAATAATCATATGGCGCCCTAGAATAACCTTATGAATAAAAACGTCCAAATAACCATAAATAAAGAGCAAACATGTAAACTTCTAGCAATACCAGCGACACCTAGAATGACATTCTTTATTTAGAAGTGAGAGCGAACTGGATAATCAAAAACAGATATGGCTATTTTTATCCTTAGCCACTTAGTACTTGTAGTAAAATAAGTGGTTGAGTAAGTGCAAGAAAAACTTGTTTCTGAAGAAAGGTGATATGGTTTTCTTGATAAATGAAAATCCATATCACAATAAGAGAATTAAGTTCTATTGGAACCATTAAAGGAATATAATTAGACTTGCGTTACCTTTTCCTCTAGTAGATGAGATCAATGGCAATCCCATCACATTACAGAATACATGAGCTGCAATTGGTGCAGCTAGATGTCCTGCACATAAATTACAAAGAGGCCAGAAGCAACAAAGCAGTGACATCATAATCACCAGATCATTCACCTCTTTACATGTGGAAGAAATATATTCTACAAACCTTTCAGCTAAGACAATTACTAAAAGTCGATTATGAAAACATAATTACTACCCATACTCATAATTCGAAATTTTGGCCGCCCGGCGGCATAGGTGGCACGTAGGCAAGCTACCTAGGAGCACCTAGGCAATGCCCTGTGACAAAGTGGTCAAGGGTGGAAATATGCTATCGGCCGGGAGCATTTTGGAAATTTTTCCCCCCTAAAATGGGGGAAAAGGCATTGAGGAGACATTCTAATACCCAAAAACCATCCCTTGTGTGCCTACTAGAGAGAGAAAAACTGTCAAAAAGATTGGGATTTGAGATTTTTGGAAGATCAAAAAAATTTCAACTTTTTCAACTTCTTGTGAAAACAAAAGAAATACTTTGAGAAAGTTTTTGGAGCTTGGAGTGGTCGCATATGAAGACTTTTGGAGACTAAAGATAATCAGCTTGGGCGGATATAAGTTTCATTTTGAAATGGTTAGTGCATTACAATATTTTAATTAGAATTTATATTTGTTTTGGTATAACATATTATGATTTGAATCATTTGATATTCTTTTACTTTTTTCTTTGCTTTTATAATATTTTTACATGTTTGTAGTTGAAGCTCGAAATGTTCCTATATTGAATTCGTTTTGAAAAGCTTAATGCAATAAAAGATTTAAATTAGGTTTGATTTTTTTTGGGGAGGTATAATGTGTGGTGTTTTGATATTTTGTTGTTTTTTTGTTTTTTTCTTTTTGATATTTTCACATTTTATTTTTTTGTTTTCTTTTTTATATTTTTTGACATTGTACATGTTTTTTTCTTGATATTTCTACAAGAAACAACCCTAGACACTGCTTAGGCAACCAGGCCCCCAAACCACCTAGGTGGCCACATCTGACTTTTTGAACATTGCCCATATTTAGTTCCAAATAATTCATCAGCCCCTTCACAACAGTAATATGATAACTCAAAGACATGCATCTACACACCCATGCGTTCCCATATCTATATCAACAAAATGTAAGAAAGAAAATTCAGTGCTCAGTTTCACAAACCTGTTCGAATGAAGAGAAAAGATGCGTAGTAACCGAAGATTACAGTATAACCTAGCTGGAGCCCTGTCAAAAAAATAATAAAAGCAAACTAAACCTTAGCTCTGTACGATGAATTAAGATGAACAAAAGAAACCCCAAGGAAATCATACCAAACTATACAAAGTTACAAACCCTAAGGAAATGTAAGATTCTCATAAACTTATAATTTTACAGAGCATCATTTGGATCTCAGTTATAAACTCCGGACTTTCCCATGTGAACTCCGCTCAGGAACCTATACAATCTCATGGTTTTTCACTAGACTTGCTCAAGTCAGTAAATTTTATATCCAACTTTTAACAAACTCGGAATTGGACCTACCTAAGTCCTGAACTGCATCGGTGGTTTAAAAATAAAGCTCCAAAAAATGATCATGAACAAAAACTCCTATGTACTCTATCCATGCAATAACGGATCAAATCTCAAATGATGTTATGAAGCAGAGACAAGGTGCGTTCATCAAACCCCTCCTGAAAAGTGCTTATCACTCACAAATGATACCAGCACTACCTTTGAGGAAATTTGAGGAGGAATGTCTGTTATAAGCTTGGATTATTGATATCATAAACAAAGGAATACAAACTCATTTCTGATTAGGAAAAGCTCCGATTTCCTCATCATCATCATTTTAGCCTTTTCCCAATTAATTGAGGTCGGCAACATGAATCCTGGTTATCCATTCTGCTCTATTAAAGGCCACATCCTCAGTAAGGCCATAAGTCCCCATATCTTTTCGGATTACTTCCAACCATGTCCTTTTGGGTCTATCCCTTGCCCTTTTCAGTCATTCCACTTGAACTAATTCGCACCTCCAAAGGTGTTGTACTTGGCCGGCGCAGCGCATGGCCAACCGTCATAAGTCTACACTCTCATTTTATCGCCTATTGGTGCTATGCCGAAATTCTCTCGAATAGATTCATTGTGAATTCTATCCCTTCTTGTCTTGCTACTCATCCATCTCAATATCCCCATCTCTGCTATACTTATTTTATGGGTACATTATTTTTTGTCTACGCAACATTCCGTCTCATAGAGCAAAGCTGGTCTCACCGTTGTCCTATAAAATTTGCCCTTTGGCCTCTTGGTATGCGGCGATCACATAAAGTTCCAGTTGCACATCTGGACTTTGCCCACCCAGCTCTAATTCTATGTGCAACATCTTTCTTGATCTCTCTATTTTCCTGGATTATCGAAAGTGAGCCTTTTTTGTACTTCCTGACTGTCAATCTTAACTATTTCCTCATTCATACTCTTATTATTATTAAATTTGCACTCCATATACTCTCTCCTACTCCGATTAATTTTAAAACCTTAGGATTCTAGAGCATCCCTCAAAAGTTCTAACTTTGTGTTGATGCGGTTTACAGTCTCATCAATCAAAATTATGTCATCTACGAACAACATGCACCAAGTTACCTCCTAGTTAAGTTGTCCATGACAGACAAAGAGGTACGGCCTCAATGCTGACCTATTATCATTAAAACTCACTCGTCTCTCCACTAGTTCGTACACTAGTTACCACCCCATCGTACATATCTCTCACCAAGTCGATGTAGTATCTAGAGACACTTTTCTCTTCCAACACCCGCTAAATCAAATCTCGAGGTCCTCTATCATAAGCTTTCTCTAGATCAATAAAAACCATGTGGAGGTCTTTTCCCTTTGTCCTAAACTTCTCAATCAGTTGCCTAAGTAGGAAAATAGCCTCAGTTGTTGACCTTCCTGATATAAATGAAAAAATTGGGATGGCACCGAAGTTTTGCATTCACTTTTTTTTTTTTGGTTGATTTGCCCAATATATGATCTCTTCTAGGGTGGAAGCATGGCAGTGTGCTTGGTTATTGATCTACATTCCATTTCCATCATTGAGAAATTATTTTCTAAAAGCTCTTTCACACAGTTTCGATAACTCACCAAGTTTTTTGAAGTTTACTGTTTGACACAGTGAATCGACTCAGTGTTAGTAGAGAACGAGGCCGAGTTTGAGTTTTTAAACACTAATGAGAACAGATCAAATGACTTCAAGAGAATTTGAAGGGTTTTACATACGCTCTCATTGAAGAATTTGCTGGAGGAAACTTTCAAAGAGAGTTCTTACACTTCACTATAGAATTTAAATATTATTGTTCTTCCAACCAGTGTTTGAAAATACGGTGCCTCGATCCGGAATCAGGCGATCTGAATCAAGTATCGTCCAAACCGTCCTGGATCCGGTGAAAAAATGGGATTCGGCCATTTTTATGTAGGGAATCGCTTGATGACATCATAAATTGATCAAAACTCGAACACATCAACGGTTTATACCAGTTCTGACATCATGAAACCGGACTGCATGAGGATGGGTTACTCCTAAAAAATTTTATAACACAAACGGTACATTGTGTCCCACCACCAGGTGCCATCACGTGGGGCCACACCACTCAACCCCAACCACCTGTACAATTCAAGTGTATATCTTTTAAGCGAGTTGTGAGCCCGTGTATACATATGATAGCTCAACAAATTTTCAATGTGGGACAAGTCCATTTCTTCACCGTGCATCGCATCTCCATCTCTCTCCCTCACACCCCAAATCCTTCATGAAAATATCCTCTTATGGCATCACTGCAAGAGCAAAAGACACGAATAGCTTTCATTGTCTGTTTTTAACCCCTCCACACCTTTTTTATGAATTTTATTAACTTGCACGTAACAAATCCATGGTTGGGTGCTCAAGACTCTAAATTATTAATTGATAATGATATTACAGTATTTATTAATATATTTATATTACAAATTAAAAAATATATTATTTTTTATTATAGTTGTAAATTAGATTTTTTAAGTTAGACAAATCTAAAATTTATTCTTATTTATATACTAAAATAATTATAAAATATAGACCAATAATTTCAATTTTAAAACATAATATTATAGTTAGTTAGGTTGTGATAATTTTGGATAAGTAAAGAGAATTAATAAACGTTTGATACTTTGATGTGATACTGATTTCACTTGATATGATAGGGAATCATTTATAATATTTTTAAATTATTTTGATGCAATATTAAAATATTATATTATCAATAATTATACAAACTCCCATACAGGAAAACAACGCCTTAGTATTCACCTATTTTTACAAAGTAATAGGAGAACATAATGCACCACTCCTAAATTCTTTTAGAAACTAAAAGAATACTATTTTTAGAAATTTATGGTGATTTTTTGAAAATATTTGGGGACAAAAATTGCTGATTCGACCGATTCTCCAAATCGTTCCATCGATTCACCGATCCGACTCGAGTATGAATGTGACCGATTCGCGTCACTGATCCACTTTTTTAAACATTGCTTCCAACTAAGTCTGCGAGCCAATGAATAGTAATAGAAAGCCCCATTGGTCAGTCTAAAACTTGAAAGGAGAATGGAATCAGCAATCAGCACAGAGAAAGCAAAGTAGCAAGACCAAATAAATCATCCTCCTATCAAGATGTAAGTGGAGAGAAAAATGGTGCTTCATTCATGCATGCAGTAATGATTCCAAACATATTCCTTTGGCAGAAAACAATTTTGTGAACATAAACAAATAATATCAGCCTTATAAGGTTGTCTTCCGAGACATAGTTCTATGACAAGGAACCAAAAAAAAACAAAAATTCAGATGAGGAACTCCAAGATGGCTCTAGTTTTTAACAGCTATACATGTCAGTCAATAGATTTGTTTTTAGGGCAAATGTTATTCGGTAGATGAACAAATGCACTTACAGCACAATTAATCTTTGAACACAAGAAAATATCTTATAGAGCTATCAACAATAAGCATCACTTCAGTTAAGGAACTACCAGAGAAAGATAAAGTTCAAAGAAGTAATACTGATAAACAGAAGAAAGAATCTCAGAAGTGACACAGCAGAGAAATATACCAACAGACATAACAGCTCTTGAAAAGCTGATCCTTTGGTCATAGTATAGCTCCAACAAATGATTCACGTGTGCTGCAAACAACAAAAAATAATATGATAACTGAGATCCTTTAGGCACGTATATCCGAGGCCTCAAGAATACAAGAGAACCACCAAAATACGTGCCCATAAATTATTTAACTATAGAAAAATCGCAAAGATGAACATGTTGATGTAATGCAGAAGATTTATTTCTCAATTCCAATGCCTTCTATCTGATGCAATATCCATTTTAACACACACACAAGCATCAAGGCCATGGCAGAGCCCAAAAGAATATACAAATCGCAAAGATGAACATGTTGATTTAACGAGGAAGATTTATTTCTTAATTCCGCATGTGGTGCGCACGCACGCACACACACACACGCAAAGAGGGAGGGAGAGAGAGAGTGTGTGAGAGAGAGAGAACCAGATCTCATTCAAGTAAAAGGAAAAAGAACTAAATAAAGGTGCAGGTCTTACATACTAACAAGTATACTCATACATCTGGAGAGGCCATTGGCTTGGTGGGAGGCATATCATTTGATGGACGTCAAGGGTTCGGGCCCTTGAAGTTTGTCCTAAGAAATCAAACAAGCAAACCTTGCCTTTTTCTTTTTCTTTTTTTCTTTTCTTTTTTTCTTTTTTCTTGGAAGAGGTCCGCTAATGCACCTCTCATGAATTAATGAGCCAAAATATTGAGCAAAGCATGTAATCTTTAGACAGACTCACAAACAAAGGGTACTTCCTGGTGTTGGTTTTCCTCGCCTCTCATTGATAGATAAGAAAATTAGTATATGTTTATTATGTTTATAATGCATATGACATCAATGTTACTTTTATTATGCCGCAGTCAAGGGTAAATTACATGTCGTTTAGTCTTAATAGGACCCTATTCTAACAGAGGGCTTAGGATAGGTGACCTAGAGAGAAAGAGAGTTTAGGGTGAGGCATTCTGAAAAGTTTAAGGCATAGATTTTCCTTTTTAAATCTAAGTTCCGATAAAGATATAGGGGAGAGATTGTGGGAAAGAATTTCCCAAGAAAGATAGAGAGTTTGTTTAGATGAATAGAGTAAATTTTAGATAAAAGATACAAGGGAGATACTATATGGTATAATTCCTTTTAGAGATAGGAATTTAATTGGGATAGAGGAGGAGAAAATGATAAGATCAAAATGTAATTCTTAGGGGGAGAGAGAGAGAGGCATGTACAGAAAAAGATTTTGGGGGAGAGAAAGAGAGAGAGAGTTTATGAGTCAAATAAAGAGTCAATACATCAACCTCTTTCCTATCTTACACATCTTTTATTGTTCTTTTATTTTTATTTTTTATAATTAGTTTTATGCAACTTAGTACATATTATCTTTTAGAGTTCTCTTCATCGCTTTGTTTATAGATTTTGTTTTCTTATTGACAAATTTTTATACTAACCCCATGTTGGACATAGCATTCTTTTCCGTTTATTGAAGCTTGACAAGCTGTACATCCACCCAAAAAGGTATGTTGACATAATTTTACTTTTTATTTACTTTTAACTTCTTCTTCCAATTGTTGAAGCAAATTTAGAGCGAGCAAAGGTCAAAGAGAAATCAAGAATTGTTATATTTTAAAATACACCTTACATTGTTTTATGATGGTTGGATTTATAGTCCTTTTGCTTGTGCTTATGTAGTCACTTTTTGAGCTAACAGAAAAACTCATCTTTTATTGATTTTGTTTTCATGGCCCTCTGATGGATTAACTTGAGATCTCATGAATTCTATTAATCGTTGTCCTCTTATATTTATTTGCTGATTATTGTATTTGTTGATCATGAACTTTGGAGGGATGACCTAGAATCCAAAGGTTTTAAAATTAGCCGGATTAAGACATTGTATATGGAATGTAAGTTTAGCATTAATTAGAATAGAGACAAGGAAGTAGTTAAGATTGACGGCCAGGAAGTACAAAAAAGACCGCACTCTCAACATCTTGGGTGGATAATCAAGGAAAATGGAGAGATTGAGGAAGATGTCGCACACAGAATTAGAGCTGAGTGGGCGAAGTGGAGATGGGGTATGGCCTTTAATAGAGCAAAATGGAGGAACAAGATTTGTGTAGCCGACCCCAATTAATTGAGAAAAGGTTATGATGATGATGGTGATGATGATTCTATATTTTCTTTTGATCACACATGTATTCGACTAATGATTTTAGGAATGTCCTACCTTTTCCAATAGGATTTTCCATCAATAATAGCTCATGTACCTCATGGTCGTTTTAATTCTTGTATCTGTATAGAAAGTTATTTTATCAAAGAGAAAATGGTTTTGTTGTATCATATGATATCAAATTAAACTTGGGAAAGATCCTTAACTTCACTTCATTATTTTTGCTTGATAAAATATGATGTTTTAATGATAGAGTTTCTTATTTGTAACGAAATGTATTAATAAATAAGTAAAAAAGTACAAAAAAGGGAGGACCACTGCATGATATTAGCTTAATACCCAAAACTGAACATCTGACCAGCATGCCTCAAGTTTGGGACAACATCCACCATCGAATTCATGTTCACATGTTTGCCACTATTAACACTAAATCTTGCAAAAAATACATGATTTCGCTAAACACATATCATTTACAAGAGTCATCTGCTCATGCATACGATTAATGAAAAAGTCATGGCAAATCACATCAAACATAGGAAGCATCACAGGTGAACTCAATGCCTGAAGATGAAAAAAACTTATACAGTAATCATAGAAAAAAACTTCACAATCTCTACAAAGAGGGTAACTGGAAAATTTAGCAAAGTTTCCTTTAGCATATTAGAAACGACAAATTACCCAAGCTGAAAAAAATCGGGCTCAAAAATACAATGGTGTATTTACTGAATCCTCCGCAAAGAAGCAAGGGTATCATACATGCTCGGAAAACCAACTCCTCGGTAAGCGGTGCCTGTACATGGGATTATCCAAATCCTTAATCTCATGATAATGTAACATATATGGTTCCATCTTCTCACAAGACAAAAGGTAATATTTGCAAGGACATAGAGCAGACATATGCACACAAACTCTCCCTCCTTTTTGTTTTTGGCGGGGGATGTATACATTAAGTCAAAAATCATTATGGAAAGCATATGATTGATGGGGTTATCATTTATTGCATACACAAGAAAGAAGGAAAGGTCTTGTATTGCTCCCTCTGTCGTACATAAACAAAAAAAACAATCATAACTTCTATATGCTATTACAAGATCGTGCAGAACTCTTATGGGTGGCGGCCATGAAGAAGTCTAATTAATTGCTGAAACATATAAAATAGATCACATATAATATGAAAGAAAGATACATACCAACCACTGCACTTCAGAAATTGCTTTTACAATAAAAATTATTGCTTTCAATACAGTAAAAATCGGTGATGAACAATCACGAAATATGGGTGATAGTCTTTTATGCCTCAATAACAATGGCCAAGATATATATTACTAAGTATGGTAGTCATATATTCTCGTATACCAATTGAAAACTAGTTCCTGACCATGTGTTCTCCCCAGTGGTTCAAAAAACAGATCGGTGGCCCAGATCGGGCACCTCAAAACCCCATCCGGATCGGTGAATCGACGATCCGGATCGGGAATTAGTCGGATTAAGCCTTACAAAAAATCCAAAAAAATTATTAAAATTCATTATAAATGTTGTTTTTTAGGAATCCAATAAGAAATCGGGGTACTAAATTAATTATTAACTTTCATTTTTTTCATCAATATACGAATATTGAGATGTTCTTTTCCTGTATGAACTTATTTTAACCATTAAATTACATCACACAAAATAAAAATCATGGAATTACAAAGGATGAAGTATATAATCATACATGGACTACAATAAAGAATGATTTTTTGACAAAAACCTTTTAGTTTTATTTGACAAAAACCTTTTATTTTTTTACAAGAAATGTTTGTCGTATTACATTTTTTTTTTTTAGCAAGAACCCTCTTTTTTTTTGACAAAAAATACTTGTTGTATTACTTTTTCTTTTTTTTTTTTAATAAGAACTTTTTTTTTTTTTGACAAGAACTTTTTTTTTTTTTGACAAGAAAAAGAAATTTGACAAGAAAAGGAATTGATAAGAACCTTTCATTTTATTTTATTTTTACAAGAAAATTTTTATTTTTTTTATAAAAAAAAAAAATTTGACAAAAAGCAAAATTGTTAAGAACATTTCATTTTTTCTTTTTACAAGAAACCTTTTATATTTTTTACCCTAAAAATAAATAAATCTACAATAGTATAGAATTTAGAAACGTAAATTTGTAATTATATTATTATAAAATTAAAAAAATAAATAACTATCATACTTGCATTGTGGTTTGGGCTAATGTTATTTTTTTCCTTAAAATGTCCTATAGAGCAGGAATTTTTTTTAATGGTCAATAAACTAGTATTAATATTATTTTTTGTTGTTCTAATATCCTATGAATTAGTACAATTTTTTTCTTTTTAATCTCTATTAACCAATAACCTAATGCCTGATATCTAATAAAAGGTTAGTTTTTATAAAAAAAGCTCAATTTAATTTTGATAATGGACTTTATTAATGTAAGGGGGCAATAGACAACAAACATTTGCCCCATCGAAAAGATGAGGGAGCACTTTGCAATATAAAAGACATGGCTTTAAATGGGTTATCATGCATGATGCCTAAGACCACGGGGGTAGGGGACACTTGCAGATGCCAAGGGGGGTACACTCGCAAAGAAAGGCTGCCAAGGGGGGTGCTTGTATGCTATAACGGTTGGGTACCGTGCACAAAGGCGTATTTTTTCAATAAAAAGAGGCGTACAAGCGAGGTGTACCAGCTATTTTTCAATGAAAAGTCACCCATTTGAAAAGTCTATAACGGTTGGGTACCGTGCACAAAGGCAGATTTTTTCAATAAAAAAAGGCATACAAGCGAGGTGTACCAGCTATTTTTCAATAAAAAAGTCACCCATTTGAAAAGTCTATAACGGTTGGGTACCGTGCACAAAGGCGGATTTTTTTAATAAAAAGAAGCGTACAAGCGAGGTGTACCAACTATTTTTCAATAAAAAAGTCACCCATTTGAAAAGTCAAAAGAACATTGGAACCGCCCGGATCCCCCGGATCCTGTTTGGAGCGGTATCACCGATATCCGATCCAGATCGCCCGATTCCGGATCCGATCGGTGATTTTTAAAACACTGGTTCTCCCGCAATTCATTTATTTAAATATACATTTACAAATCAAAAAAATAACAAAAATCCTTGAATTTTGAATAAATCCATGATTTACTCATTTACACATACCACCACCATATAAATCAATGACAGTATGGAGAATAAATACAAAGGGAAAATTTTACTGACCACCACATAATTACGCCACGCCAACACATTGGAAGTGAGAGAACTAATCCTCTCAAGAAACCCATGAGAGAAACCACTGGTCAACGAATCACCTTCCCCATTGGATTCCTCTTGCTTCCTTGCAGTCAATAGAAACAAGAGTTTCGATACAAAACACCCAGAATATAGAAGAGAAGTCAACAAAAGAGGAAAGACCACAGCCTGCCACTGTAATAGATAAAAGCAGTTGGCATGAGCAACCTCTCTCTCACTCAGACATAAAAGCGATTAGCAGATGGAATAAGCAACCTCTCTCTCCCTTGCTCCCCTCCCTCCCTCACTCCCTCCCTCCCTGAATAACAAATGGTGACAATTACTAATTTCATCCAATTCCTTCATACAGAGTGCAAGTGTGACAAAAATGCTACAACAACATATTGAAATCATACCAAATGGTCGTGTCGAATGCCATATACGCGAAAGATTGACGATGCATTCCAAGATCTTTTCATCTGTCAATTTGGATAAAGAATATGAAATTGATCCGTCGACTTGGTTTCTGACAAACGAGTTACAGTTAAAAACAAATAGTCATGAACAAACAGTGTATGAACTGCCAAAGAGTCTAGCTTAACCATGACAATTAGTTGGCGTCAAGACGAACACGTCAAGAATAAAAACTCCATCATAGAACGATGGGAAATTTATCAAATCACACCCAAAATATTCACTATTTAACATTTCAGTCATTTCCTTCGTCCTACTTTCAAAAGGCCCATCAAGGCACACATCAATTAGACATCATAAGGGATCACATTTGATGGAAGGGTATTTCCTAGTCCTCCACCAAAAGCAAAATGCTTTTAAGGAAATGCACCAATGTGAGGTATGGGTGTTTACACATATGGTATATACCAATATCTCAATCTAAACACCCTACAAGATAATGCTATAATAAAACCAATATTTTACAAGAGATTTAGTAAGATACTGGTGTGTGAAAACACCAATATCTTATGGAGAGCCTTCTTTGCGGACATATTGGTGATTGGCCTACCCAATATCTTGTGAAACTTTGACATACCTAAGATACTTGAAGTATGGAACTCAAACTACCAATATCTGACAAGGTGACTAGTGAGATTTCGGTATTTCAAAATGCTAATATCATGGTGGTTTACTTAGTGAGATATTAGTGTTCAAAATATTAATATACATAGGTGGTTTCCTGGAAAGCACTTCCATTTTGATGGAGGGCCAAAATTTGAAAACTGTCGATCCAACAATATCTAATGCACCAAGCCATTATGGAGGTATGCTTTGAGGGATTTATGAAATTAGGACAAAAATATGAGTGAAATGTTCAATATTGCTCCTCGTCAAGGCAGTTTCGTAAATCAACTTAGGATGATCTTTGCCCCTTGTTTGTGTGCAAATGAGATGAATATGCCTTTTTTAAAAACGCAGGTTGTCAACCATTGAATTTTCACAAGCTACATTAAAATTCTTTTTGAGGTTTTCAGTAGTTTGGTTGCCTTTAAACAGCTGACCACCAATAATCATCTTGACTTTCTAGCAACACCACCATCAATACCACTCTAACACCAACACTAACGTCCACCCTCTTCTCAGAGCAAAACCACCACTACATTTGGTCCAAAGAACCAACTATATTTGGCCCACCCAACAACGCACATCAATTTTGGCTGTCTAGATTAAATCCACGATCATGTTTCACTAGGCTCCAAGTTTTCTCTCTCTTCAAGATGTAAGACTAATTTCAGATAATCCATGTTCATTGACTTCTCAACGATCTCCTTCTATCCTCCCTCAAACCCCAATTCTAGCATAACCCACAAGCATCAAAGACTAGAAGAAAAAGATGAGAGAGAAGGAAGAGAAGAAAGAGAAAGAAGTGGGTCAGCAATTTGGAGTCATTCTTAAGAGGAATATCTTTGTTGAAGCACATGGTCATAACATATATAGGAGAGAGAGTAGTAACAAAAAGAGCAGTTTGGTGAAGAGGGCTTTCTATAGGGGACTCCATGACAAATATGTTTTCCGAGTATTGAAATGGGGATAAAGGAATACAGGTTTAAAGAAAGAATGGATTTGGGGTTTGGAGTTGGGAACTGGGGAATGAGGGTTAAGAGAGATATGGTTTTGGAATTTTAAGTTTTGAACCAAGGAAGATCGGTTTGAAGAGAGAATTTTTTTGGAGGAAGGTTATGAAGGTTTTCTTGTAGAGATTGAAAAACCTGAAGTGGGGTTTTAAGGAGAGAATGTTTCTTGCTTATGAAGATGTTAAGGTTCTTAGAGCTCTGAGTTCTATGAACATGAAGGTAAGACAGAGTAAGAGAGAGTGAGAATGAGTTGATTTTTTAAAGGGTTGGATGTGTTGAGCTCTCGAGTGCTTACAGATGAACGAGTTTGCAAACCATGAAACGATAGCTCACTTTCCTACCTCTTTTTCTCTCACTTGCAACGTCACTCATCCCTTGGTGCTAGAGAACTCGAGTCACTCAACACACCCAACCCCTCAAAAACACATCTCTCTTTCCCAAACCTCTCTCTCTCTCTCTCTCTTTGAAGCTTGAAGAAGCAAAAGCTCAGAGAGCCCAAGATCAACCTCTTCATCACCAAGAAAACTTCCCTCTGTAAACCCCTCTTTGATCTTTCAATATCTGCAATAAAGTCTTCCCAAATCTCCTAATGAAAATCTCTTTCCAAACCCATCTTCTCTAATTACATCTTCAAAATTTCAAACCTCTCTCTAAGCCATGATTCCCCAAGGCCCACCTCCAAACTCTTGATCCATTCTCTGTCTAACCTGTAGTCCTTGACCCCCATCTTGAAACTAAAAAATCCATACTGGTCATGGATTCTATGATATGTCTTGACAACATATGAGAGAAGAAGCCCTCTTCACCAAACAATTTTTCTCTCACCACTCTCCCCGTAATCTGCTATGACTATGCGCCTCTTAACAATGAACCCATATTGTTGACCCACTTATCCATGTCTCTCTTGTTCTCCTCCTCTCTCATCTTTCTCTTCTAGTTTTTAATGCTTATTGGTCATGGTAGAATTGGGGCTTGAGAGAAGATAGAAGGAAAGATGTGAGAAATCAATCAACGTAGATTTGGTAGTTTGCATATGAGAGCAGCCACACATCTTGAAAAGAGAGGAAAACTTGGAACCCCATTACAAATGGTGGCGTACTTAGTCAGGGTGACCAAATTTGGGGCAGGTTTTAGTAAAGGTGGACAAATTTCGTGGTAGTTTTTGTTTTTTTGGTAAATTTAGCAGGAGAGGCTGAAGTTAGTGGTTGATTTAGATTTTAAAGTGGTACTTTTGGGGGTTAAGCATGGTAGTACTTCATCTTGGCAGAGATTTCTGATGGCGATGAGTTGTTTTGCCAGTTATTGGCGACCAGAGAATTTTCAACTGTGTAGAAGTACCCCAAACCACAAAACGATTCAAATGAGTTTTGTAAAAATCCAGGATCTGAAAATTCATTTTTATTTGCAGCTAAACAAAGGGCAATCATATAAATAAAATTTTATAATATTTGCAGTAACTCTATATTGGAAGAAAAAAACAAAAAGGCAAAATGATGATTTCCAGGCATGGACATCATCCTTACGATGCTGATTTTCACATTCTTTCTGGATTTTTGGTAGAATTCCATCAATTCCTTCTCTTTTTTTTAATGAATTCCATCAATTAAAAACTGAACACCCCGTTCTGCATTATATCTTGCTCAAATTTTATAAATTATGCAGAAATTCCAGCAAAATTTCATCATAGAGACATGACATCAAACAACAGTGTGCAATACAATATGAAAACATAAAACCCAAAACCCTAACCATATAAAAATTAAATACACCATTAAATCAAAGCATCGCACACAACCAAACCAGATTCAAAATTAAAAGAGGACTAAGGGTTTACAGGGAGGAGGAAGACACAGGCGACAAGTGAAGCAGCCGTTGAAATGGAAGCACATGCAAACCTCCTGATCATGTAGGTCTCTAAAGAGAGAGGAGGAGGCAATCGAAGTATAAAGGTCGGAGCATAGAGTACCAAAACGTAAGAGAGAGCCATTGCCATGCAAGCCACTACTGCAATCCCACTTGAAATGGATCCCTGATCCATTGTATCAGGATTCAGTGGTAGAGAATCCTCCATTATCGTGGGATGGAGAGAAAGAAGGAACTTAGGACCATGGAGCTCAGATATTAGGGTTTCAAATTTTCATGACGAGATTAGGAGACCGGAATTCTTTGCTCTGTGACGGTGAGTGAGAAGCTATATTTTAGTTATTTCTGCCTGAGCTTTTGCCTAATTTTTGTTGCTCCGGGGAAGCTGTATCCGGATAATCTGCTAAGAAATGATATTATTTTAAAGGTCCGTTCAACGGCAAACGAGCACCAGTGGTCTAGTGGTGGAATAGTAACCTGCTACGGTACAGACCCGGGAGAGTTACCAGGAGTCATGGTGTCCCAATTTTGGGCGGGCTTCAAAATTAAAAATTTGCTAAAAGGTTTTTTGTTTTTATTTTTTTGTTTTTTTTTTTTAAAAAAAAAGAGGGGTGTTTGTGTTAGAGATTTTTTTTATGGGAGGGCTTTCTATGTGACCTTTTTGTTTTATTTTTTTAAAAAGAGGGGTGTTTGTGTTAGGGATTTTTTTTATGGGAGGGCTTTCTATGTGGCCCCACCCACATGTATGATATATGTGACCCCTAGTCTTAACCATCATATATGAATAGATAATTGAGATGGCTTGAGTCATAATATCACAAGCTAGTACTAAACTATCAGATCTTGATCAGCCAATAGTGTTTAATTTTTTTTTATTAGACAAATAATTTTGAAGCAAAATTTGGAGGATGGATAGATCTACAAGCGTACACATGATAAAAATATAAAAAAAATATTTCTAATGATAAAAATTACCATAATACACTTAAAAATTGTAGGGGCATTTTGGTCACTTACTTTTACATAAAATACTTGTTATTTTTTTCAAGTTCGCCCTAATTTTCTGGTGGGACGCTCAAAATTTCATAAACAACATGTTTTGTGGAAAGAAAAAAATGAAAAACAAAATAGTGTTTTGACATAACATTCTGGTATGAACAATCATAACTGTTCAATTCATATTGAATGGCTAACAAATGGGGCCACATATAACTTTGATGTTGTTAGGTCACATAAAAACATTTCTCTTTTATTATTGGATGCGCTTTCCATAAGGCTATAGCCCAACTCATTGACGTAGGGCTTCAGCCATCTCCAGCCCTTCATTTCGTAAAATGTACGGCCCCTCGTTTCTTTCTGTCCCCACAATTTTTGGGATACGGTAATACCATACGAGAGTTACCAGAAGTCATGGTGTCCCAACTCTGTGAGGGCTTTGAAATTAAAAATTTGCTAAAAAGCTTTTTGTTTTTTTGTTTTTTTGTTTTTTTTCTTAAAAAAGAAGGGCATTTGTGTTAGGGATTTTTATTATGGGGGCGCTTTCTATGAGACCCGACCCACATGTATGGTATATGTGGCCCCTTGTCTCAACCATCAGATCTGAATAGATGACTGAGATGGCTTTAGTCATAATGTCACAAGCTATTACTAAACTATCAAATCTTGATCAAACAGCTAATAGTGTTTTATTTTTTAGTCTACAAATAATTTTGAAACAAAATTTGGAGCATGGATAGATCTACAAGCATGCACATGATAAAAATATTTAAAAATATATTTTTGATGATAAAAATTACCAAAATGTAGGGCCATTTTTATCATTTACTTTTACATAAAATATTTGTTTTATTTTTTCTCATGTTTGCCCTAATTTTTTGATAGGACGCTCAAAATTTCATAAACAAAATGTTTGATGGAAAAAAAATGAAAAACAAAACAATGATTGACATAACATTGTGGTATGAACAATCGTAACTGCTCAATTCAGATTGAATGGCTAACAAATGGGGTCGCATATAACTTTGATGTTGTTAGAGTCACATAAAACATTTCTCTTTTATTATTGGATGCGCTTTCTATACGGTTATAGCCCAACTCATTGACGTAGGGCTTCAGCCATCTTTACCATCAATTTATTTGAACAGTGAAGATTCTGCATATTTCCAACAATAAAAACTAGGACTATGGATTCTTGGTCATGTGTGTTTTCTTAACCCTCTCAAACGGTTTTCTCAAATTGTTAATGAAATGATGCTTGTTACAGTTGGCATTTGCTGAATTTTTGCTTACTCCATGTCCCATTCTTAGCAATTGACTACTCCTAAACTTTTTATCTGTTGTAGTTGCCATTATTTCTCTCTCTTTAAAACCTTGAAACCCTCGTGCTATTATAACCTTTGAAACCTCGATACCCTCAAACCCTCACGCCATTGAAACCCTTGAAACCTTAGATGCCCTTGAAACCCCTTATGCCCTAGAAACCCTTTTGCTCTCTGAAACCCCTCTTCTCTTTGAAGTCCTCACGCCATTGAAACCCCTGTTGCCCTCTCTTAGAGACCCCGACTCACTCCTTCAGAGAGAGAGAGAAAGACAGAAAAAAAAAAGAAAAAAGAGAGCCAGAAGTAAGAGTGAGAGGGTCAGTCAATTAGGAAACGTTTGTGGCTTGATTTCTTCACAAAGGACAACTGAGTAATACATTAATAGTAGCTACGTAGTGGTGGTGTGGTGACGGCAGCAACGGGGTGGTAGAATGATGAAGAGTTGAGTAAGGCGCATTCTGAGAATAAGAAGGAGAAAGGCAGTTTTTCTTATTCCTTCGAGTTCTCATCTTTATAGGAACCCCACTATTTTGGTTCAAGATGATATCATTAAAGAACGAGAAAAAAGAATTCAATCAGCAGTGATCGTGACTTTCAGGGAGAGATTTTTGGAAGTATAGATGTTCCAGGAATGGGTTGACAAAACTTGGACTAAGATCCCGAGCTTGTGTCACTCAATCCTAGGAGGTAAATTTATTTGTTTTCTAGGTTCTTGTGAGGAAGCTACTACAGTAATTAATCAAAGATTTTAGTGCTTCTGGGGGGTTGATTTGATTGCAGAAAGATGGGTCCCTGCCTTAGAAGCCTCCCTGATCAAACCAAAATCATCCTGGTTTGTGGTTTCTGGTATTCCAATCTTGCTTAGTTCTCTGAAGTTTTTAAAGAGGTAGTAAATCTATGTGGTCGGCTGCTCAAGATTGATTGAAATTTAACCAGCTATCATGCCCTTATTTTTTTGGTTGAAACTAAAAGTATAAATCATCCAAAAGAGGGTATCCTAAAGTTAGGAAGCTTTGATTTTAAACTTGTATTTAAAGATATTCAAATTCATAAGGGAGGTTTCATTGAAGTCTCTTCTGAAGATGTGAATCATAGCCTGATGGTGAGCAAAATGTAAATAAGGATGATGGCTCCCAAAAGCCAGTATTATCAGTCTCAAGCTGCAACAATGGAGTTTAAAAAATTGACAACTGTTATCATTGCCGGAAACATGGGAAGACAAATTTAGGCCATTTTTACTTTGCCATGTCATCTCTCAAAGGGAAACATATCATTAACAAATGGGTTGTTAAATTTGATGGAAATCTTCCAAAAAAATCTGCTATGAAAATTCCTTAAAAAAAACCATTTGTTTTGGAAAGCAATGATATTACCTGCCATATTAGTTTGAAGCTTTTGGAAAGATTCCCTTTGGATGTTCAGACAAGGGGCCAATTAATTCCTTCCCACAAACTTCCATCAAAGATAAAAAAATTGTGCAGCTTCTACAAGAAACTCTCATCCTATAACTCAGAAGAATATCATTGTTGAGTTTCAAGCTGGCTCTATCTCTTATGCGAGTAAAGAGAAGAAATCTGAAAAAGAAAAGAAGCAGTAGATGAGTCTATTTGGGAGGGTTGCTTCCAAGCAGTTAAAGACGCAAAAAAAAGGGGGTAGTCAAGGCCTCAAAGAACATGAGTTGAAAGAAACGCTTATAGTTCCTTCAGTTGCTATGAGACCATCGAGTAATAATGCTGATGATGAAATTCCTGTAGTAGATAATTTTGAAGGATATGATTATTATGACAATATCAATGATGGCATGTCCTTAGTGATCTGATCTGTAGAAGTTGGTACAATTTTGGATGCGATTAATGTGCGTTATTGTGACTCTCTTAACGCTATTACAACTACCCTAAAGGTGAAGCATAGAAATGAATTAGAGGAAAGGCTTGTTGGGAACAAGAATAAAAAATTCAAGAAAAAAGGAATGATTCAAAGAGAACTTAAAATTTTGTTATGACATATTAACTATGACCACAGTAAAATAAGTACTTGTCCTCGTGCACATTCTGAATCTTCACTGCCTATGTTTGTTGGTCCTTCAATGGTCACCAAACATAGAGATGGTTATCAGTCTATGAAAGTGTTATATTGGAATGTCAAGGCCTCAATGTACTCAACGCAAGAGAAATGTCTTGTTTTTCTACAGAGAGGAAATGCCTGATCTCTTGCTTCTCCGGGAAGCTAAATTGGAGGCCCCGACTCTTCGTACTGCCAGATTGGTATGGGGAAATAGCTCTCTGGATTGTTTGGGAGAAAGATGCTTCTAGTTCTTCTAAAGGTATTTGGGTCCTTTAGGGAATGTTTTACAAAACTTTCTTTCAAGTAAATATATTTTCATTTTTTTTAAGTGGACAAATAATTTTTCTTGGTGTTCATCTGTGGTATATGAATCTAACAGAGCTGCTGACAGATCTGCTTTTTTTGAAGAACTAACAAATATTCAGTTAAATTTAAATGTGCTTTAGTTGGTTTGTTATGACTTTAATATTATTAGATGACCAAGTGAATCTTCATATTCTCCTTCTATGTTTTTCTGTATGAGATTGTTTGGAGGTTTTATACAGCACTATGAATTGATTGATCGTCTTTCTATTGGGGCTAATTATACCTGGTCCAATCATAATTTACAAGATTCTTTTTTGACAGGGTTAAATAGGTTTCTTGTTTCTTTTGAGTTTGTTACTCGTTTCTCAAAAATGTGTAGAAACCCTACCAAAAATTCTTTTGATCATGTCCTTCTTCTTCTTAATACTGACAGTTTCTTGTCTGGACCATCTCCATTTAGATTTGAATTAGCATAGCTATCAGATAGATCTTTACTCAGCTTCATTGAAGATTTTTGAAAAATTACTACCATTGATGGTTGAAAAGGTTTCCAAATTTCAAAAAAGCTCCAACTATTAAAATAAAGGATTATTACATGGATGAGAAATAACTTACAATCTACAATCAGGAAAATAAAGTCTCATTTAGAGGAGTTAGATAACGTTCAATTTATGGGAGGTGCTCTAACATAATCAATTCAGAGGCAGAATAAACAATTGTTTAATTTGAAAGAATTTATTGGAGACAAAAATCTCATGTGAAATGGCTCAAGGAGGGCAATAAAAATACAAGATTCTTCCA